CTTGTATGTGCCCACATTCGGGACCAAACCCACAACCCAGACATGTCCCCTGAGTAGGAATCGAACTGGTGGCCTTTTACTTTGCAGGACAACTCCTGCAAACCAACTGAGCCATGTCGGTCAGGGCAGCATCCGTATGCTTTTGATAGGCCTGATAGATCCTTTCTAAAACTTCAGAAAGATCTTTGTCTGATTTTTGACTAATGGCCTGTATCATATTCATGCTCTTTTATTGAGGCACCCTTTTCTTAAGCCCTTCCAATATATACCTTTTACAGTGTTCTAGGAAGGCTAGGTCCCTGCTGTTCAGGTCCCAGCTGGGCTCTGTCAAGGGAATTGCTCCTGCTGGGTTGGGGGGTCCCTTTGGGATTTTCTTGATGGAGGCAGTGAGCCTCTTCATTAGCTTCATTTATAACTAGCCACCGTTCATCTGCCGTTAGCAGGATGCTAAGGAGACCCTGTGTATCTGCCCAATTTGGATGGAGAGGGGCAAAAATGGAGGTGGTAAAATCTGCCATTTTCTGAGGATCTACATGAGGAGTTGGAATTCTTCAGTTCAGTAAATCTGAAGTGGAAAATGATGGAGGATTGGCCGAGCCATAGCCAGCAGGCTGGCCTTCCTGGTTTATTCCACCTATAGGGTATTGCCTCAAAGGGAATTGTCCTGCCCTGGATAGGGCTGCTCCCTGGCCAAACTGTGTGCCCTGCTGAATCTTCAATGGGGACACCATTCCTTCATCATACAGAGGTGGGGTTGTCACCCCTCTGGGCCCTATTTCAGGGGCATCTAGCAACAAGGGCAGTGGTGGGGAAGTCTTCCTGCTGCTAATTCTCCGTCGCCTGTGTGCAGGGCACTGAAGAGACACATCTTTTCATTTTCCTTTTTTTTCCTGTGTCTTACTATCAGGGAGGGTATTTGAAGTGGTAATTCCCTTATATGCATGATTAGATTGTTCCCTTTCTTTGCCGAATCCTTATTGTGTAAAGACATAAATATATGGACATAAGGGATTTTGTCCCATTTCCCTGACCATTGGCAAAACAATTCCATGGTGGTGTATGATGGTCTAGTAATTTAGGAAACCATTTAGGGGCCATTTTCCCCCATAGTTTGAAGTATACATAGGCCAAGCAGTGTTACAATAGAAAACCAATTTCTTCTTTGTCATTGGATTATAGTTGTACATGGACCAATCTGCTAAAATTTGGCCCAATGGGCTCTCTTCAGGAGTTGAAACAGAAAAACCATGATGGCATGAAAGTATAAACCCAAAACCACAACCATACAAAGACCCCAAAGTGGGAATATATGAACCAAACTTGGGTCCATACTTCCATTTGTCCAAATGAGCACTCACAAGCAAGTCCTAGCCTCTTCTGCCAGCTTTTACCACAAGTAGTCCTGACCAGACCCAAATGGCACAAAGCCCAAGTGGCATGAAACCCAAGTGGCACAAAGCCCAGGTGGGACAAGGCCCAAGTGACAGGGATAGTCTACCAAACAGCACCACAAATGTCCCTAACCAGACCCAAGTGGTACAAAGCCCAAGCGGCAGGGATAGAGGACCTCCAGTGTGCACGCTGGTTTGACTTAATCAGTCTTCAAGTCCATCTGCTCCCCCAGAACTCATTTCCTTTCACCAGCCAAGCATTTTGGACAGCTGATCCTTGAGAGTGCAGGGAAATTCCCCGAGAAAAGCTCTTGGCAGCTGCTGGGAAGTCCCCCCAGTCTGTTCCTGGGGTCAGCCTGCCACAGGCAGCTAGGACACCAGCCTGGGCCCTGTTGGACTTCCTGAGGTCCACGCCATCCCATCTGGGTCACCCAAAACTGTAATCAAAAATGCAGGTTTGGCTGCCTACTGCAACGGAAGCCAGACTCTTGAATCAGGTGCTGGTGAAAAAGGAGAGAGATTTATTCAGGTGCTGTGCCCTCGGAGAACGGCACACTCCCATCTCAAAGACTATCTCAAGCCCTTCCTGCTCAAGCCCAATGTTCTTCTAAGGATAGGGAGGGGAGAGATTTTTTTTTTCTATTCAATTCTCTTGCTTGCTTCTGGCACACGAGGGCCCTACCCATTCACCTTTCTGGCTTTCTGTGCTCTCTTGCCTTGTCCTGTTATCTTTCTAGCTTTTGATGCACTCAGTGTGAGCACCCCCCACCCCCGGGGCCATTTGGTCCATGGGGGAGACGACTCAGCACTCTGTCTATGGTAATGGTATCTTTAGTGGTTTAATTTGCATTTTTATAATGAATAATGGTGCTAAGCATCTTTTGATACGTTCATTGGACATTTGTATATCCTTTGAAGAAAGGTCTATTCATATCCTTTGTCCATTTTTTCAGCTGGGTTATTGGTCTTCTTATATCTGACCTGTAAGAGTTCTTTATAAATTTTGGATAAAAGTCCCTTCTCAGGCATATGATTATGGAAATATTTTGTTTTCATTCCCTGGATCACCTTTGTTAATGGTGTCCTTTAAAAATCAAAAGGCTTAACTTTTTTAGTAAATCCAGCTAAGCAATCTGCTGTTTGTCACTTGTGTTCACACACACACTCTCACACACTCAGCTTCCTGAGCTGTTTCCTTAAGAAGGGTGTAGGGGATGATCCTCCCCTCCCCTGACTTCTGCCACGGGGATTCCTCGTCACCCCCCATATTAGCACAGACACGGGGAGAGGGGTGTGCTGAGTCAGAGGAGCCTGGTCTGGGTGGAGGGGAGGCCCCATCCATGTGCACGCCTTCTCCAGGTTCCAAGATCACAGCTCTGTGGAGGCAGAGAGGGGCGGGAGATCCCACGTCACAGAAACATCTGTGCATCCTCATGACCTCACCTAAGAAACGAAGGGATCAGATTAGATGGTCCCGAGCAGGAGGTCATGACTGGGGGTCCACAAGCCTCTGAAATCGCATGCACAATATTGGGTGTATGCATTTAGGGGGGCAGGAGCTCATAGCATAGCAATCATCGAATTTTGAAAAGTATGTGTGCTAAGCAAGGAAGGTGCAGAGAACTACCAACCTACGGGGGCCTCCTAGGTTCTAAAAAAAAGTTCTATCATGGCGTACCCTCTTGCTGCTAAGGAGGGCACCGCCCGGAGCTGCTTCGGGGCCAGGAGTCAGCTGTGGTGTGTGGGCCCGAGCCCCCCGGCTGTCAGGACTCAGCCCGGTGAGCAGCCCCTGGCCTGTGCCCCTCAGGAAAGGACCCAGGACTGCCTGGTCCAGGCGAGCAGGCCGACTCCCCAGGGCACTTGAGGGGCCGCCTTGGTCCCCCAAGAAGCCACTCTGCGGGTGTGAGGCCAGGGGGAAGGAGTGCCCACACTTGGTGGAAGCCTCCCTTTTAGTGGGCCCTGGCATGGCTGGGCTGCAGGAAACACAGGGCAGGAAGGCGCTGGAGCAAGCAAGCGGCGGCCGCCTCGCTCCCATCTGCAGAGCATCAGTGGGGCAGGCGGGGTGGGGGCTCTCGAGGAGGGCCGGCCGGGGAGGAAATGAGAATAAACACAAGTGAGCTAGAGGGAAGGGGCGGGGGGCTGCAGCCTCAGCCCCTTGGCAGCCCATGAAGGGAAGTGACACAATGAGGAATGTGTTTCCCTCTGCCCGTCCCCCCGCATAGGAGTGGGATACAGAGGCCTGAGAATGGCCAGACCCCAACAGGGGCCAGGGGGCACATGCTGGAACAGCACGGGTCAGGGGAGGGGGGCCTGTGAGGGGGGTGTCTGAGCAGCAAACGGGGGGTGACAGGCAGGAAGGGCAGCCCTGAGCAGGCCGGGCCCTTGTCCAGTCGTCTGCAGTCTCTCCTCCACAGGAACATTCAGGGTCTGCACATTCCTGGCCTGTGCCCCGCACTGGGGCATCTCCCAGGACACCTGGGTATGGAAGCCACCCCGCTAGGACGCTGGCCCTTTCTGGTGGCTTTCCCTTCTTTCTCAAGGGGACTCAGGGTTATGGAGTCCAGCAGAGTCCTCAGTATGAGAAGGAGCTGAGGTATCAGGACCCCTGGCCACGGGCGGGGCTGAGCAGGGTGTTTCATTCCCATGTACCTCTCTTTCTCCCTCTCTCCCTCTCTCTCCCTCTCCCTCTCGGTGTTTACGTCCCCAGCTGGGACTGTCCGTGTGCAAACAGGCCCCCTGGTGGGACGGCACCTCCCCATCCTGGACACCCGTTTCCTCTCCTTTCAGCAGGGAGCTGGCTCCCTTAACCCCCTCCTGCCCATAATCCAGAGGTTTCCCTGAGGCTTTGGCAGAGAGAGCCAGGACCCCCTGCTCAGTCTGGAGGGGGGGTTGGGGGGTTCGGCGGGGGGCATGTGCTCCCCTATCTTCCCTCCTATCTGTGACCTGCTGGAGCTCAGCCCTGAGTAGCACTTTCCTTGCCACCTTCTCTCAGCGCTGTGGACTCCTTGGGGACCCTGGGGGGAAACAGGCACAGGACTGTGAGCAAACCTCTGTCCTGAGGGGCCAGGCCAGGTGACTTGCAGCCCTGCCCTGGAGCCCGGGACCCTGGAACCAGGTCAGTAGCACCACGGGGCCATCAGCCCTTTGCCTGACCTATTTCCTCCCTTGTCAAGTGGAGAGATTCGCAGAATAGCCATGAAAAGACCTCTCAACAAACAGGCTGAAGGAGATTTTACCTTTGCAGAGCAATTTACAAAAGACTGTGATACCCATTTTGAAATGATTCTCACAACTGCCCCGTGAGGTGCGTACTCGGGGCAGCTCAGAGGTGGAGCCACAGCCTCCCGACTCCAAGTCCAGTGCTCATCTGAGGCCCTTCCTTCCCCTCTCTTGGATTCTAGCGCCCCTTGTGTCAGGCAAGGAGGCTGAGGAGACCTGTCTGAGGGGCAGGGCCCTTCATCGACTTCCCAACCAGTGCTAAAGAGAGCGGGGATTTAGAAGGAAACTGAGTCCCAACACTCCGGGTGAGGGTGAGGCTGCCGGGCCCCAGGAGAGCGTGCAGCCCCCAGAGCCGGAGAGGTGTGAGGCCTCCCCACTTTCCTCCCACAGGGACCTGAGGAATAACGCCATCAGCACGGTGCAGCCCGGTGCCTTCCTGGGCCTGGGGGAGCTGAAGCGCTTGTGAGTGGCATGTTCCACCCCCGAGACCGCCCGGCCCTCCTCTTATCCCGGGAGAAGTTCCCATGGATTCTATGAGTAGCCACCCCTCCCACTCACCCCCACAGCCCCCTCCTCTTGCCCCCCCATAGTTGCCCCGCTCCCACACAGCATAATGTCTGGGGGCAGAAATTTCAAACCCCAACCCCATCGCCTTTTCCGCTCCGCTTCCCACACAAGCCCCAGCTGCACTTGTCTGTCCCTCGCAAGCTGATCTGTGTGCTACCACGTGGCCTACTTGCTGTGGTTGTGTGTGTGTGTCTTTCCAGAGATCTCTCCAACAACCGGATTGGCTGTCTCACCTCCGAGACCTTCCAAGGCCTCCCCAAGCTTCTACGGCTGTGAGTGAGGGGAGAGGGGAGAGGGAAGGCTCACCCCAAGGAGGCTTGGGAGGAGGAAGGCAGCCCCAGACGCTTACAGGTGTCTGCATGCTCTCCACTCCTCCTACCCACTCTGGTGCCAGGAGACCCTGAGATCCGTCTTACTGTTCCCTGCTCCCTGCAGAAACATATCTGGAAACATCTTCTCCAGCCTGCAACCCGGGGTATTTGATGAGCTGCCAGCCCTTAAGCTTGTGTGAGTATCTTTCCCCAGCCCAAGAACTCAAACCCCCGCTTTATTCCTCTGCCCAGGAGGGAGATGCTGAGGCACCATGACCAGTGGCCAGCCTTGTGAGTAGGCAGGACCGACAGCGGCTGAAACTCCACCATACATGCCTTCCCTCGATTGCTAGGCTGGGGCACACATGCCCAAGTTTGCCCTCTCCAGCCTCAGTGCCTTCCTGTGGCTCCACCCGACTCCGGAGCCCGCACGCCTCTGCTCCGCTCCATGGCCCTTCTACCCACTCTGCAGGGACTTCGGCACTGAGTTCCTGACTTGCGACTGCCACCTGCGCTGGCTGCCGTCCTGGGCCCGGAATCACTCCCTGCAGCTGTCTGAGCGCACGCTCTGTGCCTACCCCAGTGCCCTGCACGCCCAGGCCCTGGGCGGCCTCCAGGAGGCCCAGCTGCGCTGCGGTGAGCAAAGCCTCACCCTGAACACCTGCTGGGGGCCTTGTCTGCCCCATGGGCCCCGGACTCCCTTCTGCAGGGCTTGACTGGCTCAAGGCTCCCCCTGCCGGAAGTGTTCCTGGGTGGTGGGCAGCTCCGCGGGTATCCTTTCCCTCAGATCCCACTGGGGTCGTCTTCCACCATCTTCTAAACCTCCTTTCAGGCCACTGCTTTATGTTTTTCACCCAGGGTGACAAGCATGCTGTGGAAAGGAGCACTTTTACTTATTTGTCCAAAGTCCTCCTGCTCCTCTCCTATGCTCCTTTCTCTGGCACATTCTCCTGCTCCCTGTTCCTCCCTAAGGCCCCAGACAGAAGAGGCTGGCCCTGCCCCTCCCGGGCTCCCCGACATTGGTGTAGGCACACACCCCACATGCTCAGGTCTGGCTGCTCCTCTCTCCTCCCACAGAGGGGGCCCTGGAGCTACACACGCACCACCTGATCCCATCCCTACGCCAAGTGGTGTTCCAGGGTGACCGCCTGCCCTTCCAGTGCTCTGCCAGCTACCTGGGCAACGACACCCGCATCCGCTGGTACCACAACCGGGCCCCCGTGGAGGGCGACGAGCAAGCGGGCATCCTCCTGACCGAGAGCCTCATCCACGACTGCACCTTCATCACCAGGTACGAGCCCCGCGGCCCCTTCTCAGCTAGGCCCGTGGTGGCCACAGCATCCCTTTCCCAGCCCCCAAAGTCGCTGTGCCCACACGCGTTCCTGGGAGTGCGCCGTCTGTGTAAGAGCGTATGCACGCACACGGCGTGTGTCTGTAAAAGTCCAGGACTAAATCAGTGGTCTCACTAAGGGATAGAAATTAAATGCTTGATGGAAAAAAGATTATATCTGACATTTCTTTAGAGCTTTTATAATACACACTCACCTATGTGATCAGACTTACTCTCTCCAATAGACTTGTAAGAGAGGTATTACCTCCACCATAAAGATGGGGAAATTGAAGCTCAGAAAAACATTATCTCAAGGCCAATCACAGTGAAAGGAGCATGTACTTGTTATCCCTCACTCAATTAAAGAATAAAGGACATGAAACTCGTCCCGCACACCCGGGGCAGGGCGCCTGTGGGTGGCCAGACCTGAGGCGCTTGTGGGGGCGGCATGGCCCACCGAGTGCCTGACCGAGCCAGCCCTGCCCGCCCGCCTGCAGCGAGCTGACCCTGTCTCACATCGGTGTGGGGGCCTCAGGCGAATGGGAGTGCTCCGTGTCCACGGTCCAGGGCAACGCCAGCAAGAAGGTGGAGATCGTGGTGCTTGAGACCTCCGCCTCCTACTGCCCCGCCGAGCGTGTCGCCAACAACCGAGGGGACTTCAGGTTCGGTGTGCCCTGCTGCCCGAGACCCAACCACCTTCCTAACCCAGCCCCCCACGCCACCCCCAACTCCTGCATCTGAGACCACAGGTGACAGGGCCCCCCACCCACTCTAAAGTGGAGAAAACACTCCCTTTTGTTTCAGCCCCAAGATTGTACCATCTGAAATGTGAAAGGGTTTTATTTGCTTCCTTACATTAATAGCTTACAAAGCTCTCCCACACGAATATCCCATTTAATATCCCAGTGGCCCTCACAGTTAGGAAAGAGGTATGATTCTCCCCATTGTACAGCGGCAAATACCGAGGCCCAGAAAGGATAAGTGACTTGGACAGGGGACTCAAAGTCTAGCCCCCATGGCACCAATGACAGCACTAGCAGTACAAACACAGTCAGAAAGAATGTGGAGCTTGGGAACCCCTTGAAGTCCAGCCCCAAACCCCTCTTCTGGATCATTCCCTCAGGGGTCTGACATCACAGTTCCAAGGGCAGGGGGTGGGCCCTTGCCTTGAGGGGACTGGGTCATCGGCAACTCCTGCCTCTGCCCCCAGGTGGCCTCGAACTCTGGCTGGCATCACAGCCTACCAATCCTGCCTGCAGTATCCCTTCACCTCGGTGCCCCTGAGCGGGGGTGCCCCCGGCACCCGGGCCTCCCGCCGGTGTGACCGAGCTGGCCGCTGGGAGCCGGGGGACTACTCCCACTGTCTGTACACCAACGACATTACCCGGGTGCTCTACACCTTCGTGCTGGTGAGGCCAGGACAGGGGGTGGGGGCCCCATCAGCCCTGGCGCCAGGGAATGGGATGGGGAGAGCCTCCCGACCGCCCCTCTGCTCCTTGGGCGCGCACTGCGAGGAGCTCCTGCTCTTCTCCAGCTGTCCGTCTGCCGGGGGATTCCGACCCTCGCACCCAGGAAGTGCAGGCCGCCCCAAGCATCTGCATCCCCCAGCACAGCAAGGGCAGCCTTAAGGGGAAAACAAGGACAGCACGGGTCATCCTGTCGTCCTTGGGCCAGCGGTGCCAGGAGTGGTTGCCTCGAGTTGTGACAACCTCATTCCTTGTCTTCTTCTTCTTTTTTTTTTTTTTTTACAATTTTATTCATTTATTTTTAGAGAGAGGGGAAGGGAGGGAGAAAAAGAGGGAGAGGAACATTGATGTGAGAGAGAAACATCAATCAGTTGCTTCTTCCACAGACCCCAACCAAGGACCAAACCCGAAATGCAGGCATGTGCCCTGACTGGGAATCAAACCAGCAACCTTTCATTTGGGGAGATGATCTGAGCCACACCGGTCAGGGCTCTGCACCTCCTGTCTTGATTAGGCCCAGCTAGAGGGCTAGACCCCTCTCCCCAGGCACTGCACCCTAAGCATTAGTACAGAGGGAGCCACGAGGGAACAGTTCTGGGGAAGAAGGAGACAGATGGGACTATCCCCTGTCTTTCCCTAACACTGCCAGATGCCCATCAATGCCTCCAACGCGCTGACCCTAGCCCACCAGCTGCGCGTGTACACGGCTGAGGCTGCCAGCTTCTCAGACATGATGGACGTAGTCTATGTGGCTCAGATGATCCAGAAATTTTTGGGTTATGTCGACCAGATCAAAGAGGTGAGATTCAACCAGGCCTCTGGGATCCCTGAAAGCCTCCTGCTCCCCATTCGCCCAAGCCTTTCACACCCCAGCTCCTGGGTCCCAAACCCCACTTGTGCCTCAGTGACTCCCCGCCCCGCCCCCCCCCAGCTGGCGGAGGTGATGGTGGACATGGCCAGCAACCTCATGCTGGCGGATGAGCACCTGCTGTGGCTGGCCCAGCGCGAGGACAAGGCCTGCAGCGGCATCGTGGGCGCCCTGGAGCGCATTGCGGGGGCCGCCTTGAGCCCCCATGCTCAGCACATCTCTGTGGTAACGTGTGTCAGCTGGAGGGAGCTCCTCAGGGGGCCTGACTCCAGGGGGAGCCTTAGAGTCACCCAGAGGGAAAGTGTTTCACTCTCAGGCAGCAGGTCCTCCAGCTGTGCACCTGCCATGAACACCTAACTTGACTAGATACCCTGTCGAGTGGAATCAAATCCTGAATAGCCAGGAGCAGTGCAAAGACAGGGAGGCCAGTGGCCCTGGAGAAGTTACCCAGGCCTTTTGGTGGGGAACCAGCCTGTAGGTGGATAACACTGTGATGATGGAGAGTAGAGTAATAGAGACTTCTGTTCCCCATTATATGTCGTGAGCCAATTAACAACATGACAGAGCACCTTCTACATGCAAGATATTGTGCTGGTCCTTTTGGGAGATACAGGAGGTTAGACGTGGACCATACTCTGCAGCTTAGTTGGAGAAGTAGAACTAGTCCATGATAAGGGGGAGCAAGATACAAGGTGGGGTGTGAATGAGTCTTAGAGGAAGAAGGCACCATGGCCAGGGACTGGGGGGACCCCCTGGCAGATGTAAGACAGGCCAGGCCTGGAGACAACAGTGAAGAGGAAGGGGTACCCGGGCCGGCCTGAGCAGGTCTGCAGAGGGCAACTGTGCAGTCTCAGGCGAGAGAAGGCCAGGAGAGGGCCCCCACCCCGTCTCAAAGGGTCGGGTGACAAGTTCCCTACCCCTAGAACTCGAGGAACGTGGCACTGGAGGCCTACCTCATCAAGCCAAACAGCTACGTGGGCCTGACCTGCACGGCCTTCCAGAGGAGGGAGGCAAGTGGGCCTGGCGCCCGCCCCGCAGGCCTTGGCCAGAACCCCTCCCCTGAGCCGGAGCCCCTGGCTGACCAGCAGCTCCGCTTCCGCTGTACCACCGGGAGGCCCAACGTTTCTCTGTCATCCTTCCACATCAAGGTGGGCACTGGGGCAGAGAGGACACAAAGAGGGGACATGCCGAGGTGCGGGTGCCTGGTGGAGGTGGATGGTGTGAGAGGAGGCGCGACCCAGAAAAGCAGGTGGGGGAGGTGGGAGGAAGGGCTGGGGAAACATCAGCGTCCCAGGGGATCCAGGTGTCTCTGAGGAACTCCTGTGTCCCCCCTCCCAGAACAGCGTGGCCCTGGCCTCCATCCAGCTGCCGCCCAGTCTGTTCTCGTCCCTTCCGGCCGCCCTGACTCCCCCAGTCCCCCCAGACTGCACCCTGCAACTGCTCGTCTTCCGAAATGGCCGCCTCTTCCGCAGCCATGGCAACACCTCCCGCCCCGGAGCTGTGGGACCCGGCAAGAGGCGCGGCGTGGCCACCCCTGTTATCTTCGCAGGAACAAGTAAGGGGCTGAACTCCAGGTACCATAGGGAACCGCTCCGAAGTGTCCGCCCTGTGCCCTTTCATCCTGCTCCTCCCCCACCCGCAGTGTCCCCGGACATCCTGTGAGGTAGCAGAGGATGGTGGTCCCTCACCTCTTCCAAGGAGAATGGGGACACAGACATCCCTTAAAGAAAGGGGCTATTGGAGAAAAGGTTCAGGAAGGCACTGGATTTTGTATGCAAGATTTGTCAGGTTTCAGAAGGGCTTTAAGTACAAACCCTTGCCCCACCCAGACCACAGGCCCCGCCCCCGCCCCCGCCATCCCACCTCTGCCTCTCAGCGATAACCTCCTGACTCCTCTCCTCACCTAGGCTTTTGCTCCCTCAGCATCACCTTCCACCTTCTTGTCCCTGACGGCAGCCCCAGAGTCCTCTCTCTCAGGGCACGTTACCGTCACTCTTTTGGCACTTAGAGTGGACCACCTCCCAGTGCTTTCGTTTTGATTCACCCTGGTGTCTCCTCAGTTAAGACTGAGAACGCGGAGGGCAAGCCCGCATTTGGCATCCAACCACATCCACCGAGCCCAGGGCACACCCCGCCCACGGGCGGTCCACAGCTGCGCAGTGGCTGCGCTGTCCCAGCCAGCCAGCCTCCCGTGGCCTTGCGCGTGCCTGTGTGGGCTCCCTTTCCCCCATAGGTGGCTGTGGCGTGGGAAACCTGACGGAGCCAGTGGCCATTTCCCTGCGGCACTGGGCTGAGGGGGCCGAACCCGTGGCAGCCTGGTGGAGCCAGGAGGGGCCAGGCGGGGCTGGGGGCTGGCGTTCCGAAGGCTGCCAGCTGCGCTCCAGCCACCCCAATGTCAGCTCTCTGCACTGCCAGCACCTGGGCAACGTGGCCGTGCTCATGGTGAGTGCAGCAGGACTGGGCAGCGAGAGGGACGGGGCACAAGGCGGGTACGCTGGGGGCAGGCCGGGTTCTCTGGCCATCAGAGGCCACAGAGAAATAAAGGACAGCAGCCTTGCCAGACCTCAGAAGGGTCAGGACTTGGGGAAATGTCCTTCTGGTCTCCCGCACACTCTGCGTTGCTCAGGAGACAGGGAGGGCCAGCTTCCACTCCCGGAACGAGAGCGGGACCTGGAACTACCTGGCCTGGTCTCCCGAGACCCCGCCTGCACTCTCTGAGGTCCAGATTATTAAAGCGGGAAAAAAATCTGGCAACATTTCCTCTTTCTGGTCACGCTCCTCATTCACCCCATCCAGCTCCCCATCCCTCACCACATTCACACCCCGCTTTCCCGGATCCTGAGCAGGCATACAGCGGTATTGTCAACAGACTTCCCCCTCTGAAAAGTCCCCGAAAAGGCAGGCAGTAGGTGATCGATGCCACATACGCCAAGTTTTCTAGGAGTGGATGTCATGGCACGTACACCTGTGCCTACCCCGATGGACTGGGCTGAGGACCAAAGCGGACCGGGCTTGGGAGAAGGAAAAGTGGCCTGGGGCATGGGCTCTGGCTGACTCCACCAGGCGGCCTCTCCTCCTGGCTCCCTAGCATACACTTCCTCTTTCCTACTCTTCCCAGGAGCTGAGTGCCTTTCCCAGGGAGGTGGGGGGCTCGGGGGCAGGGCTGCATCCGGTCGTGTACCCCTGCACAGCCCTGCTGCTGCTCTGCCTCTTCTCCACCATCATCACCTACATCCTCAACCACAGGTGAGCGCTCTCGCGGGAAGGGAGGCTGTGGCGGGAAGGCTGGGGCAGGGGTGGTCTCACTAAGTGTTGGCAAGTGTTCCTTTCCCAGATGGGTCCCTGTTGCTTTCCCTGGCTCTTGGCCAGCATTTTATTTGAAGGTTCTGGGGTTGGACAGCACATTTCGTGGGTTAAGGCCCTCCTGCCCTGGGGCCTCTATCACATTCACACACGAGCATGCACACAGATTCCTCCCGCCCCCTCTTTGGCCCTCCCATTGGCCTTGAGACCCCATGGGCCTGACCTTGGGTTGGGTGGCCCATTAATTACTGTTTCTGGGGCAGCTCCATCCACGTGTCCCGGAAGGGCTGGCACATGCTGCTGAACCTGTGCTTCCACATGGCCATGACCTCCGCCGTCTTTGCAGGAGGCATCACACTCACCAACTACCAGATGGTCTGCCAGGCGGTAAGAGGAGAAGGGGCTGGAGTGGTGGTTGGGGAGCTCCCAGGTTAGTGATGGCAGCCTAGGCAGTAGGCAGGAGCAGGGGAGGAAAAAGGGGGCTCACGCCAACAGGCCGCGTCTCCATTGTTCTGTGTCCAGTCTTACTTGTAGGGGGAGGGGAGTGTGAGAGTAGAGGGTGGTAAGAAGCAGAGAAACCAGGCGGTAGGACTTCAAAGTGGGGACCTGCAACAGAAGAGAGGCCGGGGACGAACCAGATAACAATAACAAGGTCATGGAGAGTCACCAGAGTGGGGGGAAACCTGGGGTGGAAGTAGAGAGGGTAATAGCAGGGACCGAACCTGGGGGAGGCTCTGGGTGGAGTTGGGCCTGGGACCAGGGAGGAGCGGGAACACGCCGTGGGGCTGAGGCTCTGGCCTGGCGCCGGTGGTAGCAGCCCAGTCCCCTGACCTGGTAGCAGTCCCAGCCTCAGCGCCTTGATCCCGCAGGTGGGCATCACCCTGCACTACTCTTCACTGTCCACACTGCTCTGGATGGGTGTGAAGGCCCGCGTCCTCCACAAGGAGCTCACCTGGAGGGCGCCCCCTCCACAGGAAGGGGACTCTGCCCCATCTGCTCCCCGTCCCATGCTCCGGTACATGCTTCCAGATGTCAGCTTTGCAGTGGGAAAGGGCTCAGAGGGAGGTTAGGACACCAAAATCGATTTTCTCAGGGCGGATGCAGGGCGGGTCCGAGGTCCTGGGAAACCACTCTCCAAAGACAGAAAAGGCAAGGCACCAGCCTGCGCCAGGTTGCTGAAGGTCATGGAAATGGGTGCATCCTTAGGACTTCTGAGGCATGACCAGGGCAGGGAAGGAGGTGCCTACCGCAATAGCAGGGAAGGGCACTGAGCAGGGATCCCGGGAACCCGAGTGGTGCCCTCCGACTTCTGCACTTAGGGTGAGGGAAAACAATTTGGCCTCTCTCCCTTCAAACAGTCTTGGCCAAGTCCTCTAGGGATCTACCAAGCCTGCACTATAGGGGCCTTGCATCCCTGGCAAAAAAAAAATAAAAAATAAAAAAATCTGATGGAATTTAAAGGGGAAAGGAGATGGGACAGAGGCCCTGAGTCAAGGGCTCTGAGCACCTGGTTCCTCTCCCTTGCTCCCTCTCTCTCTGACCACCCCAATCCATTCCTCTCCAGGTTCTATTTGATCGCCGGAGGGATCCCACTCATCATCTGTGGCATCACAGCCGCTGTCAACATCCACAACTACCGGGACCACAGCCCCTAGTGAGCACGCTGCCTGCCTGCCCGCCTGCCTGCCCCAAACCTACCCACCCCAGCACCAGATGCCTTCTACTCCACTGGCAGGGGCACCTGCTGGGCCCACCCAGCCCTGATCCCACCCAGCCCTGATCCCACCTAAGCCTGTGCATGCTGACTAAGCCTGTCTCTGCCTGTCAACTCACTGTATGCGCTGCGTCCCCACCCACCCAGCCTATGGGCCCCGCCTCAAACTTGCCTCCCCTCCTCATCTACTGCCTGTGTCTCCCCTCAGCTGCTGGCTGGTGTGGCGTCCAAGCCTAGGAGCCTTCTACATCCCGGTGGCTTTGATTCTGCTGATTACCTGGATCTATTTCCTGTGTGCAGGGCTGCGTTTGAGGGGTCCTCTGGCACAGAGCTCAAAGGGGGGCACGAGCAGGGTCTCCCTCGACCCAGGGGAGGAGCTGAGGGGTTCCACCAGACTCCGGAGCAGTGGCCCCCTCCTGAGTGACTCAGGCTCCCTTCTGGCTACCGGGAGCGCCGGGGTGGTGACGCCTGGACCCCCAGAGGATATTGATGGCCTCTATTCTCCGGGAGTCCAGCTGGGGGCGCTGGTGACCACGCATTTCCTGTACCTGGCCATGTGGGCCTGCGGGGCTCTGGCGGTGTCCCAGCGCTGGCTGCCCCGGGTCGTGTGCAGCTGTCTGTATGGGGTGGCGGCCTCGGCCCTGGGCCTCTTCGTCTTCACCCACCACTGTGCCAGGCGCAGGGACGTTAGGGCCTCCTGGCGCGTCTGCTGTCCCCCTGCCTCGGCCTCGCGTGCGTCACCTCCAGCCGTGCCGGCCGCCGCCCCAGACGACGGTTCCCCGGTGTTCGGAGAGGGACCCGCTTCCCTGAAGTCATCCCCGAGTGGCAGCAGCGGTGGCCACGCCCCGCCCCCAGGCCCCTGCAAGCTCACCAACCTGCAGCTGGCCCAGAGTCAGGTGTGCGAGGCAGGGGTGGTGGCCCGTGGGGAAGGGGAGCCAGAGCCCGTGGGCTCCCGAGGAAGCCTCGCCCCTCGCCACCCCAACAACCTGCCCCACGGGCGCCGAGTGCACAAGAGTCGGGCCAAGGGGCACCGCACGGGGGAGGCGGGCAGCAAGAACCGGCTCAAGGCACTGCGCGGGGGCGCGGCGGCCGGGGCACCCGAGCTACTGTCCAGCGAGAGCGGCAGCCTGCACAACAGCCCGTCCGACAGCTACCCGGGCAGCAGCCGCAACAGCCCCGGCGCCCGCCTCCAGCTGGAGGGCGAGCCCACGCTCACGCCATCGGAGGGCAGCGACACGAGCGCTGCGCCGCTCCCAGAGGCTGGTCGGCCGGGCCAGCGCCGCAGCGCCAGTCGCGACAACCTCAAGGGCGCGCTGGAGAAGGAAAGCAAGCGCCGCTCCTACCCGCTCAACACGGCCAGTCTGAACGGTGCCCCCAAAGGTGGCAAGTACGATGACATCACGATGGCCTCTGGCGCTGAGGCGGCCGGTGGCGGCTGCATGAAGACGGGCCTCTGGAAAAGCGAGACCACCGTCTAGGGTGGGGCGGGTGACACTTTAGGACTTGCTAGCCACATGGGCTTGTTATCCCCGGCTTCCCGGGGGACCTCAAAGACGTCTGTCGGTACGTCCAGGTTTGAGGTGGAAGTGCCCAGGGCTGCACCTGGGCTCACCAGCTTTAGCTCTAGAGGTTGGGGGAAGGACTAGGCAGAGGCCTACCACTGCCGAGAGGGCCATCCCTCTGGGGTAGCGACAGACAATCCCAGAGCCACAGGCAGGATAATTTCCATCCCAGCCCCGGCTAGTCTGGGCAGTTTTCAGTGCTGTCCAGCAGGCTCCTCCTGACGTGCTCCCCGCATCTTGTCCACCCTGACTCATGGGTGGTCATCAGCTTTATTAGGAGAACACGGATGGGAGCTTGAGAACAATGTTCTCTCACTGCCCTCTCCTCAAGTCTGCCACCTGGGCCTAGATTCTAGGGCCTCTCACCCACCCATTTTTGGCTAACTGGGGAGCCAGCCTTAGCAGATGAGCCAGGTGACCAGGACCAACCGGAGGTGACATGGTGCTGCTTTACAGATTAACTATGCAAGAGGGGAAGGCGGGACAGTGTGTGAGAGGCAGCTTGGGAGACCAAGGCAGGAGGGCAGGTGCACGATTGGGGGGGGGATACCATTCCCACACGAGTGGTACACATACCATACAGCAGGGCTCCAAAGTGGCACTTCAAGGCAAAGCCAAGGGTCTACACCTAAGAAGTGCACGCTGCCTAGGGATGTGAGGGAAGTAGAGTAGTGCTTAGGTTTGGGGCTGAAGTTAGTCCTGCCTCAAACCTAGTCCTATAAACAATGCCCTGAGGGGGGCTCCAGCACAGGAATGCAGGTGGTGTTGGAGAAGCACTTTCTGTCCAATGACAAGACCCATGTCCCCATCTCAGCCTCCCAACACGAAGGGACTAAGGAGAAGTACTTCCCTGCCTCCATGAGGCCACAGGGAAGACCCATGCCAATCATCTGATCTCTAGCTCCCTTTTAAGGGGAAACCTCCAAAACATCAAACCAGCTTCCTGCCACAGAGAAGCCGAGGCCAAATCCTTCCAGGTGGCAGGCACAGTCCCTACATCTCCCCTGGGGCCTGAGCCTCCACTTTTAAACACCAGCACTCCTATTTCTCCCCCAACCTAAGAAGCAACCGCCAGCCTTTTACTACAGGACCCAGTAAACGTGGAGGGAACCTGGGGCCTTGTACACAGCATCATGAAAACAAGGCCTAGTCCGGGTCCCCTCTCAGTCACCCCAGCCTGATCACCAAGGTGAAAAAAGGCACAGGGGAGGAAAGGAAACCACACGCCTTGGGATGGATCCTGTTATTTATGCTTGCTGCACAGACGATATTAGACAGGAAAAAAAAAAAAAAAGCTTTGTATTATTCTTCCACATATGCTGGCTGCTGTTTACATACCCTGCCAATGCCTTAGCACTGGAGAGCTTTTTGCAATACGCTGGGGAGAGGGGAGGGAGGGGATGAAAAGTGCCAAAGAAAACTTGTTTTTAAAAGCTCGGGTTTTATACAATAGAATGTTTTCTAGCAGATGCCTCTTGTTTTAATATATTAAAATTTTGCAAAGCCCTTTGAGCTATAACCTTAGTCCACCCACGGTCCTTTTGTTATGAGGTAGAGGATCTCATGGTACCATACACATTAACCCACCAAGACCCAGGAAAGGACACGGGGCCAAGAGTTGCCCAGTTCCTGTTCCGTGAGGGCTGATGACGTTAGAAATGCCAAGTGCCCCAAACCAGTAGGGAGGCCCCCGTCAGCCCTGCAGCAGCAGTGTATCCAATTCAAACCAGGAGCAGGAGAGCCCGACCCCCCTCCCAACAGTCTACGAGGAAAGCCATCCCATGGAACGTGAACACATGCAACCTGCTCTCTAGCACTAAGGAACGGGGCTCTCTCTAACCCAGGTGTCCCCACATTCCTTCTGGTTCCTACTCCGGGACCTGGGCTCCAATTAGCTGCAGAGCCGCTCTCAGTTCCTTTAAACATGAAAGACAACACATAAGGACTTGTACACACTTATTTCTCTGGATATGATAGCCTATTATCAAGTTGCTGTTAGAGTGGGGTAAAGTGTTCCCTTCGACCCCCAAAGTGCATCAAGGAGGGTTAGGGTTACTAGTGGCCGCTTGTCTAGCAGCTTGGGCTCTCTGAAAGTCCCTCACTTCCTGAGGGGTGCGCAAGTACTGCTCTATTTCACTATCAGAAATGTTCTCATCTCCGGTGACCGTGGAGGCAGGGGGGGTGGGGCAGACCCGCTTTGGGGGCTTCAACATGCAGGGTGGGAGAAGAAGGGCAGGACTAGCTGGTCGCTTCCCTGCTGGCAAATCTGCAGGACTATTATCCACTTCCCCTTTTCCCTGTCCTTGCCCTTGTCCCTGTCCCTGCAGCTCCTTCTCCTGGGCCTCCACTGCTGCTGCTCCTTCTCGAAAGGCTTTGCGGATCAAGGTGTGGCGGTGCTGGAGCAGGTCACCAATGTGCTTCACCACAGACCGTTTGTCAAGTTTCAGAACTTGCAACCAGGCCAGCTGCTCGGCCATCCGCAGCAGCACAGCCAGCAGCTCCTGTAAGCGGGAGGAAGCCGGGTAGGGCAGGTCCACATTTGCCAATTTACAAAATCGGGCCAGGGAACATGTCAGACGAGCCGAAGGCTGCAGCGACTGCCAAGCCAAGAAAGCAGCAGCAGTGATGACAGGCAAGGGATGCCGCCCGGTCACCAGCCACGTCTCATCTGCCAGCTCCACCAGCTGCCGTGTTCGTGACAGCATCTTCTCTTTGTTTTCCACGTATTTGGCGGGCACAGATGGGGAGGCTTGAAACAGTTTGAAGCTGAAAAAACCAAACCAAGGGTCTTGTCTCAGTGCCTAAGGGGAGGCTGCAGGCTGCTCTTCCAAAATGAGGAAGAACAGTCTGCTCAAGATGGGCAAGCTGTTCTAGCCTCTTGGGAACACTCATGTTGCTGGGCAGGAAGTTTCATGCAGGTACTGAGAGAAGACTGGGTTAGTCATCTGCTTGTGAGGTCGAGGGCAGGAGAATGCAAAAGGGAGTTAACATCTGTTGAGTAACCCGTCAGCTTCTGAGTACTTTACAAATGTTCTTTTGCCTTCTCTACACCTTGTTATGTGCATTTATAGTTGAAAACTTGCCCATAGTCACCCGGCTAGGAAGTAACCAAGCTTCAAACCCAACACTATTGGGTACTGATAGCCTTTGCTTTCCACTATATCTTGTCAGAAAAAAAAAAAAAAAAAAAAGAACACAGCTACTGAAAAACAAAACCAGAATTAGCTTCCAACTGCAGTTCTGTCACCTACTAATGTTATTTCATATTCTTTCAGCTCCATTGGCAGTTGATCCTGCTGAGGCAGGGCTGTTGCATACAGCCACGCAGGCCGCACACGTAAGCAGTGCAACTCAGGAGCTCTGTGCCAAAGCTAATACCTACTTTCCTACATCATTAGGTTGCTGTGAGAGCGAAGAGTTTTGAAAATTATAGCCTTCTAGAAATGTAAAATGGATCGATCTTATTAGTACTAGGCACAGGAGAGGGAGAACAGATTTTTCTCCCGCATCCTTTTAGATAAGCTTTAGTCAAGAAAAGACAGCCAAAGGTAAAAAGGTTCAGGTCTAAGGACCCATCCCATCCCCACACCTCCCACTAGGCAGGTACCTGCTACAGTAGGTCTTCACCAGGTCTGTCAAGCACAGAGATGGCACATCCAGCCCCAGAAGCTTCACAATCTGCATGTAGGTTCCAGAAAACATATCCAAATCTGCATATAACAGGGTGCAGATGGTTCCCATGGTTAGGGGCCAGTTATGCTGTCGGCAGGTGATTAAGACACAGCACCCAACCAACACCTCCTTCTTTTGCATCCTGGCAGCACGGATGCCAGAGTGCTGGTATGCCTGTTGGTAGTAAGCAACTGCTGTGTCCTCAAATGTGGATGGCAACTGCAGAACTCGACAGAGGTCCCTCACTCGGCGGAGGCCTAGGGAAACACAGAGCAAGAGTAAGAGGAGTCAAAGGAGCTACTGTGCAGCTCCTAGCAATTTCTGCTAAACTTGCCTTTGATATGAGATGCACATGTAATGTACTGCCTTTCCTGCAATAACAGGAATGACACCTAGTGGAGTCATTCTAAAGGCATAAAGAAATTTGTGGGAAGAAGTCACTCTTCAGCCCACCATTTCTGAGAGGCTGGTGTGGTTCAGAGTCAACGCAAATTCTAATCTGGACTCCTTGAGTCTACCTCAAACGCATCCCTGAGCAAACCCAAACTTAAACTGATTTGCTACCTTTCCTAGAACCATCCCCTTCCTTTATGTCTAATCACCATTCTCTTCTACTCTACTTTACGTGGTAACCCTGAAACCAGGAAAAGCAAGCACACAGGCAGGACCATCAGTAGAATTTTCTTTAAAGCCACTGTGTCATAAAAAGTTGATTCTTACCTTGTTGCTGACTGCGACTAACTTGTTCATTTTCCCCTGTGCTCCGGGAATATGTTACTTCTGGAGGAAAAAAAAAAAAAAAGGTGGAGAGAGACAACAAATAGTTTGCTTAGCCTTTATCTACTAGACCCCTGCGCTCCCACCATACAAAGCCAGGGAGCAGAATTCAAATAATTAGATATTCGCTTGCTGTCTCACAGAAGGTGCCCATCTATACACTTTAAGGCCCATCTGGTTTTCTATGTCCACAGCACTGTCAAATACACAGAGGCTGAGGAAGACTAGGGCTGCACTGAGGTTCCAAGTGCTCCAAATTTTTGTAAATGTCAGTTCAAATTTGCACCCTCCCCTACATCCAATCTGAGCAATTTCCCCGGCTGTGGATTTTGAAGGCTGCATTGATTAGGGACTTGGAAAGCAAACTGAAAGAAGGAAAAAAAAAAAGATGTTTTGCCAATTAGTATTAAAAACTACATCGGGGCAATAGCATGTGCTGTATTCACAGAGCTGACCCACAGTATTTCCACCACGACCAGAATGGGTAAATTGAGGGGAACTTTGTTTCTCTTTGTTTCATTTATTGAACTTTCTTATACTTACTATACGTGCGCGTTATTGTACTAGATGCTAGAAAAACCCACGTGAACAGCCGTCCCTAACCTTCTGCGGCTCACTCGTTCACTTTAGGTTGTTTCCTGCCGTATTTAAGTGTGTACGTGACAAGGAGTATGCAGGAGATAAGAAAAATCTGATTTCACTCCCTCCACTGCCCCAGCCTCTACCCACAGCCCTGGGAAGGACGGCAGAGATACCTCGGAGGTTGCCCTCGTCGCTGAAGGTAGTAGTAAGAACTCCCTCGGTGACCACGCAGCCGCAGTCAGAGCACACCAGCTGGCTCTGCGAATAGTGTGAGTCTTCCACGAGGTCTGTGGAGCCGCAGTCGGGGCAGCGTCCGCCGCCCGGCATCGCACCACCTTCCCAGTGCCGCGGAAGCTGTCAGATACCCAGCCCAACGTCTCCAACAGCAACTGTGGGGAACCTTTTAAGTGCTGCACCTTTCTCTTCCGGCCAGAGCGATCTCGGTATGGGTGGATCTCCCCGCTCCGCCACGGCACGCTACTTCCGGTCCGTTCCTTCGGGGACTCGGGTGAAAACATAAGCTAGGAGACGAGGTTCCTGGTCTGAACTATGTCTTTGGGTTCCCAGCTATCTGTTGGTGCTTTGAGGCGGGTCAGGCTGGGAGTTGAATTTAGGTGAACGTTCTGCCTACGTGGACCCACATAATAGACAAGAAATTATCGCCCTCCTGAACAACTGTTTTTTTCTAAGACGCTGGGGGAATCCGAGATTTTCCATTTCTCATGGAAACAAATGTTGATTTTGGCCGTAGAACAAAGTATGGTAAATCCCTAAAAGGGAGAGTAGTGGAGTGAGAGTAGGACATTGTGTTCTACTTTCTAGAGCAGCTTTCCCAAGCAAGTTGTTGCCCCTCTTTGCAGTCTGTTTTTCTCAGCTGTAGAATGAGGGAATATAACTAAAATCCAGAGTGGCAAACTCAAATGCTTTCAGAAGCAATGTCTTAGGGAGTTGGAATGAAAGAATATGGAGTGGTGTAGCCTTTGGCAAAGTGAAGGATTCAAGCAGATGCAGATGTTTTTAAAAGCTTGAGTTTTAAAATGTTCCAAGATTCCGGCTCCAAAGTTCCTAGCTTGGTATAGTATAGGTCAGTGGTTTCCAACCTTTCTCATCTCATGGCACACATAAATTAATTATTAAAACTGTATGGTACACCAGGAAGTATATTTTTTTGCTGATCTGGCAAAAAAAATAGGTATAATTTTGATTCATTCACACTGGATCGCTATTGTATTGGCTGTTGTCACTTTTTAGTTTGAAAATCTAAGGGAAAAGGGGTCAGTGGTGCTAAATAGTCAAGTATTGCATGTTGTAAAAATTCTTGTGGCACAGTGTTTGAATATTGCTAGTATAGGTCAAAGAATCTTAAGTAAAACTGATGCTGTTACTGAAACCAAACTTACCAATTAAAAATTATGTCCTATTTGAGTATAAATAAAAAGTTACAAAAAAAGAGAGTGTATTTTCTTATAAGTAAATCTACATGGCACTCTAACAATAAATATTTTAATGCTTGGGAGTTTTAGAATCAATTGTGTCTGAAAAATAAGAAAGTTGAGTTAAATGACAGGTACAGCCAGAAGCCTGTCCTAATGACTCAAGGAAAGCAGATGGGAGTCATGATAGCAAGTGTGGAAAATTTCTGTTTCTCAGGCCAATAATGGAGAATTTCAGGGATGCCTCTGGCATTAGTAATTTTAGAAACTGTTGTGGGCTAAATTTCAACCTTGCATTGGGAGTTGGGGGTGCAGAATCAGTTCATCCCATCCCATTGAGAACAGAAAATCATTGAACAGCTATGCAGAATGAATTGAAAGATAAGGGTGTCTTGTTAGCCCCTTAACAAATAGGGATACACAGTCCCTTGAGGAATGAGATACAGGTTACAGCTGCTTTCTTTAGAAGATCAGTAAATTATTATGCATCCCTAGAGCTGAAAAAATTCTAAAGAAAAATGGTGCTTAGTTGTCTGAAATTGTCAAGGCCATGCATCCAGTTAATCTTCATACAGAGCATTTGAGCCTCAAAATGAAAAGAATCTCATTGGACAGAGCTATAGGTTCTTTCGAAAGAGCTACAATCAGCAGTGAGGCATAGAAGTCTGCCTAATGAGACTGTGAATTCCCTAGACTGCAATGAGGAACAGGGATATATATGGCAAAAAAAAAGGTAGCATGTTGTCTATAATCCATGCATCAGGCCTGGACATTCTTCCCCCTAGTGTGTTGTACGTGATGAGGATTTATTTCTGGTTGTCCAGCAGATAAATATTGAGACATACTTGCAAGCTCATGTGCACACACACCTCAGAATTTCTGAGTTAGTTTTAGACAGTATAGTCAATGTTCTTAGTGAGGAGGGAAACATGTGCCTAAAAACAACATAGCTGGGATTGAGAGTAGCTCTTTATATTATCATACAAGAATGGCATTAAATTCCACTCATTCCTAATTTTGTACAGATCTTGAACATAACTGCATTTTTTTAAGAGTGGGATTTTATTAAAGGCATCTACCCATGACAGAAGTCTTAAAATTCTGCTTTCCCTCATGTGACTCACAGTAAAGTGGAAGAGCAGCTTTACGATCCTCCAGCCAGCAGGGGTGGAGGGGGGATTTTCCTTTCCAGTCACAGGCGTGTGGGAGCATAAAAGAGCCTTTCGCTAAGATTCTAACAGGCTGGGAGGTGGACAGGCCCCAGGCCAGAAGATGGCGCACTCTACTAAGACGTGTAGTCTGGGATTCACCACTTTCCCAGGAAGAAATTGACTTATTTAGAAAATTTATTTGCCATCCTCTGGGAAATCAGAGCAGATACACCACCCTCATTGCCCTTCCCACTGCTACAAATGCTTTTAAGAGTTACCATCATTCAACGATACTGATGATCTGTTTAACAGATGCTCCTCGAACCCTTCTCCCCCACCGCCGTCTGTGAAACCGGAACCATGTTTCTTATCTCCGTATCACTGGAGCTCACATGGTACCTGATACACGGGCTTTTAGAATGCTGAATGCCCAGAATGGGCTGGATTTGAGCAGAAAGCTGCTGTGGAGGGGAGGCGATTGGAAAGGCTACCCCAGCCATGGTTCAGATGGGAAATGCTGACCTTAAGGCCAGAGTTCTTTCTAGAAAGGAAACCAGAGAGGAAGGCACTGATGGTGTGGGACCCAGTTCTCCCGTGGTCAGATATGTGTGTTCTAGTTCGCTGTTTGCCTGTCTGGCTTGCCTTTGGATTGCACGTCTCTGAGGAAATGATCTGGCTTTTTCATCCCTGGGTGTTGGGAACCCCTGCTACAGTGAGGACTGGCAGCAGGAAACAGCCATTCAACCCCTGGGAATGTCCTGGGTGGGCCTGGCAGAAGTGACACACAGACTTTCTCAGAGGCAGAATCATGCTAATCCAGAGCAAGTAACTAAAGGGAGTCGAGCTGCCCTCAGGTCCTTAATCTGGCTTTACCCCTAGGCTCCTCCCAGCTCAGCTGACTGAAATTTCAGAACATTTTTAAACCAGTTTTACTCCAAGCACCGAGAACCCTCTCCTCTGTCACACTAGCCTGGCAGTTGGCTTGGGCCTTCCAGCCATTCTGACAGGATTTCCTTTCATGGCCTCAATTCTGTAGTGGACACACATTCTTCTCCAACACTCACAGAGGACAGCCACAGGACAGAGCATGGCCAAGACTTCCTAAACCCTGGTGCCAAATAACCTCACTTTTCCCTCTTGCATTGTTTATTCTGCAGCTCCATTTTCTCTCTCCTGAGACGAGGATTGATGTGTTCAATTTCTTGAACTCCTAAGAACAAAGGCATCTGATAACTCTAAGGAGGTGGTCACAGGCCCCATTTGCTGCATAAACTGAATACCAGTCCCCTTATCTGGAACTTCCCTCCTCAGGGAACCTGTGTGTCTTATCTGACCTCATCTTGAAGGAGGATTGAGTTATACGGTCTTAATTTTCCCTGCCTGCTCCAGCCCTCCAGGATTCCAAGTGAATCAGAACACTATCTCCTTGACCCCCAAAGTGATCCTAGACTAGGGGTCAGCAAACTTTTTCTGTAAAGGGCCAAACAACAAATACATATTTAGGTTTAGCATATGATAAAGTTTCTGTTGCAACTACTCTAGTCTGCTGCTGTCACATGGAAAGTCATAGACAAGAAACTGAGCATGGCTGTATTCCAATAAAACTGTGTGGACACTAAAATTTGAATTCCATGTAATTTTCATGTGTCATAAAATAGTGCCATTTTGACTTTTTAAATTTAATTATTAAAAATGTAAAAATCAGCATTCAGGGTCGTGTCGTTGACTATGCTTATCACTGTGTGCATTAGGTCTCTAGACTTATTTATCCCACGTTTAAAAAAAAAAAAAAAGAAAGGTAAAAATCATTCTTGGCTGGATGGCTGTACAAAAACAGGAAACAGGCCGTGTGTGCTGCCCATGTTCCAGGCCTCTGGGTCAGACAGGCGAGTTCAAATTCCTCCTCAACTGCTCACTGTGTAACCCTAGGCAAACTGAAGTTCTGATGCCTGAGACTCATCTGCATAATGGAAATCTTATCTACTTTGATGAGAATTAGAAACAGTAACGTCGGTGCTTAGTGAACAGCAGGAACTCCTTTTGCAGTCGAGTTTCAGCCTGAAGTGAGAATTCGATATGCGAGGGCAGAAGCAGCTTTCTCTCCACAATGCGAGAGCCTAGCAAGAGCCTATCAGTGCCACCAAGGTGACCATTTCCAGCGCTCAGGATGCAGGTTTCTGGGTAAAATAGTTTAGCATTGAAAGGCTGAGTGAGGACATTCTCCCTCAGGAGATTCTGTGGCTTTGGAATATGTGGGCCCCGCAGAGCCAGTTTTGAATGGGGAAAACTGCCTTCCCTGCACAGGGAGAACTAGATCACAATAGACGTTCACTGATGAGAGAGAAGCCTCAGGCGTGGGATCCATTTGCTTAGAGGCTGGGTTTGTGGGCTCAGGCAGCCCATGCTCCTGGCACCTTGGCCCAGGTTAGAGAGTGTGAACTACATCCAATGACAGTTTTCCATGGAGGTGGGGACAGGGTGCTTCCCTAGCAAGTCCTTATTCTCGTCCATAGGTGGCTGTGATGATAACCTGAGCCAGAAGTGACTTTGATCATCTTTGCAGTTGCCACAGCTCTTCTGTGACAGGGGTGGGGTGGGGTGAGGGGTTAGCGGGGGCAGATTCTCCCTCAGAGCCACTATTGGTCCTTGTTGCAGATTATCTAAAGGCATGCGGAAATGTTCTGAACAGTCCGTACTGCGTGTTCTTGTTTTCATTGAAAAATGTATCTATTTGTATGAGGGGAAAATGCTGGGACAATAAATCAAAATAACAGTAGTTACCTCATGGTAGTGAGGAATTAAGGATCTTTTCTCCTGCCCCCAAGAATAAGCACGTATGTCATTGCTTAGAGAAATCTGCAGACCAAGCGGAGAGGTGGGGGGGAAGGAGGATGGGTGTGCTTAGTGAACAGTGGGAACTCAATAAATGGGCCCCCCCTTTTGCAGTCAAGGTGCAGCCTGAAAATGAGCACTCAATATGCAAGAGCAGAAGCAGCTTTCACTCCATTCTGAGAGCCTCTGGTCCCTGCAGCAGGCCAAGATGGGGTGTGTGTCATAGAGAAAGATGGTCCATCTTCTGGAGGAGAAAGGGCATTGGGACCCCTGGGCACCAGGCAAGGTGGCAGCAGTGGGATCTAGGTGAGAGATTCTCAGAGGGTGAGAAACACACTGGTCACCCCTCTTCCCCAAGGGAAGTTGTTGGGGGAGACAGAGAAATTTTTATTGCACCCAAACTAAACCACAAACGCAAAGCTTTACAAGGTAGTACCATTTTATTTAGTGTTGTAGGAAATTTTAGGCTACTTCTTAAGAACAAAATCAGATATTAAAAACTCCCAAAGTAGCAGAGCAGGAAAAAACTATAATCCAAAAACACTGGGCGATCCTTCCAGAGTCAGAGGGAGAAAGAGGTCAAGTTAGTAGTTCACGTAATAGATACTGAGAAACCACAGAGTTGAGATTGGTGTGAATACTAGATTTCATTCTCCACCTAAGACAATCTTTCAGCCTGGAGGGATTATTAATTAGTAGTTCTAAAAAAGAGAGGAGAGTCAGTTGGGAGAAGGGACCCAGTGAGGAAAGAGCCTGCATAATTTAACATTAAATTGCCTCTGGCCTTCAATATAGCATGTGGCTGAGTGTCCTGGACCTTCCTCCCTCGATGATGCCCTTTTGGGCTCCCACTGTAAGCAAAGCTGGACCCACATACACGCATCCCATTGGTACGTGCATACATGCACACGCCTCTCAGGTCACCAGCTGCTCCACGTGGCAAAGGGCGGCCCTTCTTCTTCATTCTGCTACCCTGATAAGGTTAGCACACAGGAATAAAAGGGAAGGACAGTAGACCTATCAAAGTCCAAGGAATGAGATGATATGAAACCACCAAGCAAAGGGTTGACATTTTTTTCATGCAGCTAACCTCCATCTGAAATTCACTGCAAAGTGTTTGGTATTTAATCTGATGTCCCCCTTAAGTACTGACTGTTCTTTCTGGAAGGAGCTAGGCAAGGCTGAGGAGAGAGCCCCCCTGCTTCGCCAGAGCACAGCTTCAACCCATCCATTACCCATCCATTAGGTTAGCATACACAGCAGCTAGAGGCAAGTCCCAACTCTTGCACAGGTCAGGCACAGGCCTTCGGAAATATGCGCGATATAGGAGTCCGCACTCCAACTCAACAAGCCCTGCTAAAGGCTCAGAGTGGGCTAAGGCTTTTCTTAGATAAATTCACCCCACAAGTAGAGTCCTCAAGGACAGTTATTAACTAGTGACCTTCAGGCTATCTACTTTGAGAAATACAGGAATACTATCAACTGAATTTTTTTTCCCCCAGCAGTGGTAGAAACTAGACACACTTGGAGTACATTGTCCTTCATTCTCCAGAGTTCCCAAGTGGCATTTCAGAGCACAGGAATTCACTCCTCCACTCAGACGTCCCTCTCAAACACTGACCCAGGTACATACCGAGGTCCTAGCAGCAATCTAAACCCACCAGCCCTGCTGAACAGCACAGGTCTCCACGCCAGCTCCTCAAAGGAGAAACCATTCAGAGCACACCTGCCCCCCACTGCACTTGGGTTATCACAGTCAAAACACACTTATGTCAAGTAAAAAACATGTTGCAGAACAAATATATACATGTACATTTTCAGAGTTCAAGTGAATATACAGTTCTCTTTGTAGGTACGTAAATAAGGTTCATAGCACTACAAAAATACAAGTCATCTGAGAAGTTTACAGTGGTCCCCAGTACTGTAGGAAAGAATTAAATAAAATAGTTACAGATAATTAAAAGCTAATTAGATAAATCAAGTTACAGTATCATCCTTCAGATTAAAGTGCTCCAATATAACTAAGGTTGAAGCAAACATGATTTTGAAAGAAATTCTGCTGCCAACAATCTTGCCTCTTAACCTCAATATAACAAGAACATACAAAGAAGAGATTCTCAGTTTAATACTTGCTAGTATTGCCACCCTTGCCCACCCCATTGGCCGGTGATATTCTTTCCCCAGGAAAGAGGTCAAGATCTGATGAGATTCTGTCCCAACCAGGAGAAAAAAATGAGTAATACAGACATCTTCTAATTCCAATATTAGGTTACTAACAGTGGAACTACTTGAAGAACCTGAGCTGGTAGTATTATGAAGAGGGCAAGTGTCCTAATTTTTCTGAAAAATGTGCATTAATCTCTTTTTTAAAATACATCAATCCCAAAATAAGTATCATCTTCTTGCTCTTTACAATTTTATAACAAGGGAGGGAAATGCCAGGAAGAGCTGCCTAGGAAACCGGGGAGCTAAGGCACAGGGGAACAGGGCAGAGGAATCCTACTAAAATCATTCCATACCTGATGGAACTGTTTTAGCAAGCACTTGGGTCACCCAGTCCCTTATCAAGGCACTGACGAGGCCGCCCTAGCCAGCAGGAACCCTGCTACCATGCAAGGAGGGACTTGGACCAACTCCCCCTAACTGAGTACAAAGCGACTCTCTCATTTCCCCCTCGTTCTGATACACTTCTCAGGCGCCCTGTGGACCTACACAGAGCACACTGTAAGGCTAGACAGTAGTGGAAGCTGAGGTTTAGAAAAGGCAACTCATTCAGTATCTATAAGGCACACTCAAAGGCTTTCCCTAAACTCTGCTCTAGTCCAATTAAGACCAAGTCCAAGAAGCCGTGAGGTTGACATGGTACCAAAATTTAGCATCCGCAGCCAAAAAAGCCACGCCTGAGCAACTCAAAAGCCAAGAAAGTATGTGTAACACAGCACCTTCTCATTTCACCCCAAGCATTAATGACTGGGGGATACATATTTTAGAATTTCAATGTCAAGGAAAAGAAACCCCAATGTTAAAATATATTAATACCCCTGGCACCATGTGAATCTCTGGGCCAGGATCAGATCTTATGACCATGTCTTTGGTCAGGGCATAAAGTATTTACAACATAAGGCACAGTGGCATTTAAAAATAAAACCCTGGGAATGTACAGTAGGAGATTCATTGTAATAATTAACCGGGCTTCAAGTGGTAGAACTGACTCTTGCCAGAAGACATGCAAGGGAGGTGGCGACTTGGAGCCTGTATGCTGGTTATCAGGTACACAGAGTCCTTGACCTCAGGAGGAGGTGGAAGCAAACACAGAGAAAATCTGTGTTGTACACGGGCCATTCACATCTTTCCTGCCTTCTTGCCCACCTGAGCCGGAACTCGGAGGATGTTGGGGGTTTCTTCCATGACCCTGACTAGCAGATTGTCGATGTAGTCCTCCAGCTCGCGAACCTGGAATTCTTTCTTGCTTATCGTTTCTTTCTGTTTGAGGACCAACTGGATCAGCTCATCGTGGGTGAGCTGTGCATAAGCAAAAGCTGGGTCCGAGGGGGTGTATTTCTTTGGAGAGGAAAAAAGGGGAAGACAAAAGAGATAAAGTCAGCAAAGAAGTTAAATATCTAAAGGAAACACAAAAGAGGGGTTTCAGGGACCATAAACTGAGGCTCAGGAGGTTGGGGTTCAGGGAGGTACAACGTGCTCTCAGAGCTGGATGAACAAGAAACCACTGCTACACAAGTGAACGGACAAACTTCGAAGATGGAGTGACACCTGAACTAGACTTTGGAGATGAATTTACAAGTAATTTCCTCCCCAAATAACAGGATTTTGTTTTTAATTATAAAAGGAATATTTTGCTCATCATTGGAAATCTCACATACAGAAGAGGGAAGAAATTATTACCTATAACTCTAACACGTAACATTTGCATCTCTTTCTTATTTTCCCTTGGTTTCTTTATGGTATGTTTCACAACTTTAACTTCATACAGGATATAGTTTTATAGCTTTTTAAACTTATTATTTTGTGAGTCTTTCCCCATCATTAAATTTTAGTAAAAATTGCTCTCATAATGGATGCTTAAAATTCCATCATCTCTCTTGCTGGGTATTTAGGTTGTTTTCAATTTTCATAATTATATAACATTTTAATTAAAATTTATTAACATAAATCTTTGGTTATATCTCCAAACACTTCCTTAAGATAAATGCATAGAAGTAAAAAGACATACATTTAAAGTATTTCATACAAACTGTCTAACAGCTATTCTATTTAGACTCTGTAACCCGAAGAGGAAAGTATGTAGGACTTTGAAATCATTAGAAGATTCCAGGAATGTGATGACTTTTAAAATCATAAAACAATTCAGCATTACAGAAAGTGAGCAATGGCCATGAATAGGAAGAGATGCAAAGAAAATACCCATTAATTCAGGAAGCAACAGTGCCCATTGTCACATATTTCCTCCCAGGGTTTTTACATTGGATTTTTTTTCCCAGCACAGTTGTAATAATAATGATGTACATTCAAATTGTGTCCAACTTTTCTCATGTGACAGATGATTTTTGGATATAGTTGGCTGTATTATTTTTAAATGGAAGTGTCAAAGCCACCTGAGTAAATAATATACCCCTAGTTATAAATCATCTATAACAGATGGAGGCCCTAAGAAAAATACCTTCCCCGCAATCCACTGTAGTAATGATTCGGCTAACTTTTCATAACTTTACGCAATTTCTTCCTCTAACCTCTATCATACTTTGCAACATTTCAAAGAGCAATTCTTTTTATAAGTATTGTTTATGCCTTAGCGCAAACCATCTATTACATGGCGAGCCAGCAGCAGTCTCCAGGAAACTTCCCGAGTATTTACTCTGAGTATTTACTAGGTATGGTCCAGGACCAAGGGTTTTGCTGAAGGCAGGCGGAGGGGCAGCAGCGGGGCTTACAAATCATGAGCAAACCAAACAGCAGTTGCCTTCATTATGAGTAAGTTATTCTCTAGTCAGGACCAGGAGATAAGCCCCCGAACAAACAAGCTTTGAAGAGTAAATAAAATGGCAGCCAAGTGTCCTTCTGGCCCACTTCCTGAAAGCTAGGTGTTGTTTTCCTCAGAGCCAAGCTGCGCTCCACAGTAAAAGAAAGAGCATGGGTGGCCACTAAATAACTTCAGTTTTCATCAATTTTATGCTGTTATTTTGCCCAAATTCCTGGTAAATATTGTTAACTCCAGAAAAACAAATGCTGCCTCTCCTACACAACCACAGAACCCAGCCAAGCTGAGCTGCTCGAGTTACAGCACATTTTTAGGCAAGGGCTAACACGCAGTAGGTGCATAGCTCTCTGGCTGCAGCTGGTAATTTTGAGACAAGGCAAGCTGGCTAGAAGATGCTAACTAACTTCTTTTTTGCCACAATTCATTATTGCTACTCAACCTCTTTACCTGAAACTCAGATCGCCAGCTTTTAGTGAAACTTTAGCCCAGCGCCTTAGTGGCAGACATACAGTGCAGTCAGAGGCATTAACAACCAACCAGCATTTTAACAATGCTTGCAGGAGGGAAGGAGACATGAGCAAAAAGCTTTACATTAAAAACACAGAAACTCATTGACGTCCTGGAGACCACGGGACTGTAAAATCTACGACTGAATGAAACTTCGAGATGCCCTTTCTAAAAATAAACTTTCTTTTTACCGATTATGGTCCCCAGTAGTCATTTAGGTAATTCCTCTCCACATATTTCAAAAACAACATATCTTGCCAGTCACCAGTCACTCAGTAAATCATTTTCCTCCAGTCCATGTGACAATGAGTCAAACACCAGCGGTCTGCACCAAGACAGGGATCTAAACCCTTCTGCTTTTAGTACCAGCAAGGGCAGGATGAAGACACTCAAAGCAGAAATCATCTGGGAGGTTGATTTTGTTTTTGTAGCGAGTTTGGTTTTTGTTTTTTGTTTTTTAATGTTAGCCCAAGCTTTTTAAAGAACAGAAACCCTCTAATCCAGCAATACTCTTCCTGGAAATTGAGCTTAAGGAAATAATCTAAAAGGAAGGAAAAAGTTCTATGCAAGAAATTGTTGACTGCAGTGTTGTTAATCTTGCAAAACAGCAAACATATTGTAAAGTTGTATGGCTGAAATTTATATAATGTTATTAACCAATGTTATCTCAATAAATTTAATTTTAAAAACAGAGAACAACCTAAATATCCAATAATAGGGAAATGGTCAAGTGAATATTGGTATAACCATTTCAAGAACAATTAAGTAGCAACGTGCAAAAAAGGTCGGGATGCACTGCTAAGTGAAAAGGAGCTGAAGAGTGTTTCCATGCAGTTGATGCAGCTGGAAATATCATCATTTCGCAACTACCAAGCTCATCAATGGATACTGAAGCCTGTGAATCAAAGTTTGATGAGGAACAGGATATATACATAGTCTGCAGTCAATTCCCCAAGAATTTCTTATTAATTATAAAGGGAAAATTAGCAACTTTACTTTTGAGAACCTGGGTAGACACCACCTAAACTAAGTCATCAGAGGTACTGCTAACGCTGCCCTGGCAGGGTGGCTCAGTTGGTTAGCGTGTCGTCTGGATTTGCCAAGGCTGCAGGTTCAGTCCTCGGTCAGGGCACATATAAGAATCAACCAATGAAGGGAAAAATAAGTGGAACAAGAAACCCATGTCTCTCGCTCTCTCTCAAATCAATAAATAAAAATTTAAAAAAGAATATCAATTGCAGAATCAACACTTCCATGACTGGTACTAACTGATATAATGTGCCTCTTTATACAATACACTGAGAGGGACAAGTTATTTCTATAGTTAATTCTTGCCAAGAATGTATAACCTCAACCAAACCATGAGGAAACACCAGACAAATCCAAACTCAGGCAAATTCTACAAACAACTGATTTACACTCTTCAAAGATGGCAATGTCTTGAAAGACAAAAAAAGCCACAGAACTATTCCAGAGTAAAGAAAGCTAGAAACAACTTAATATAATGAGTGATCCTGGATTGGATCCTGGACTGGAGGGAAAAATTACCCAGAAAGGACATTAATGGGACAAGTGGTCAAACTGAAATATAGATGATAAATGAGAAAAGAGTATCACATTAATGTTAAATTCCTGATTTTGATAACTGACCTGATCTTAGGAATTCCATACTTAAATATTTAGGGGTAAGAGAGGCATGATATAAGCTACTTACTCTCCAATGGTTCAGGAAAAAAAAATTATAAACATAAAAAGAGAGAACAAAGAGCGGGTGGGGAGAATGAAAAAGCAAATCTGCTAAAATGTTAACAATGGTGAATTAGGATGAAAGGTACACAGGACTTCTTTGTACTATTCTTGCAACTGTTTTAAAATTTGAAATTATTTCAGAATAAAGTTACAAAAACATATATCTATGCAATGATTACAACTGTAAGAATTTTATAGCCTTGCCAAAAGATAAGAACGGATACATGAACATAAAAAAATCTCATTTTAATGGGCCTGATTGTACACGACATTTTCTTCTCATTAAAGAGAGGCGCCAATGTCAATTATGTTACGTGAGACACAAAAAAGTCAACAATAACCAAATAACCATAAGGGAAAAGTAATTATTAAGTGGCAAGTGTAGGGGCTTCCAAAGATTGATTAACCAAAGGTACGAGATGTATGGTTAAGTTACTCCTGGTATCACCTACCGCCCAAGGAGATGTATACAATGGTGATTCTAGAGATGGGTTGTTTTTGTTTTAGATCCCTAACTAACATGTCCATTTCTTGGAGCAGACATACCTTCATTATGGCTTCGTTGATCAAGTTCTCACTGATGATAGTGGCAGTTCCCAAGCTGGAGTGAGCAGGCTTGGTGGCTGTTGTGTTCATTGGCTTCACAGGATGAAGTCTAAAGAGAAGGGAGAAAGGATCCTTAGACCTTTCCGTATCCGCAGACTGAGAGACTGCCCATCTCAAAGATGGCAGCCAGCCAGAGAGACAAAGGTGGAGAGTGGCGAGATGCTCTGCTCTCATCTCCGGTCTACCAAACGCCAACGTTCCTGAGGAAATGAAAGCAGTCAGCAGCGGGCAGCCCTAGGCAAGCCAGCAAAGCTCACCCCTCCAGCCAGTTGTCCCGACATTCTCACAAGCCCCTGGTCCTCGTTATCAATGGCAGGGGAACATTAAAGACAATCTCTTATTTTTGGAGGCAACTACAACCTAGGACTCCTCTGCCAGAGCCCTTGCAAAGCCTTCCATTCCTCAGCAGTAAAGAAAGAGTTCAGAACAAACATGCCAGCTTCACACTGGGCAGTGCAAAAAGGAAGCCTTGAAACACTGCTTGGTGCTACCACACAATCTCAGCTGGTTTCCAAGACTAGTAAGATACTTGTCATAGCACATCTCTGCTACTCAAGAGATCCAAATCTGACTGTGCAGAATAATTCCTAAACTATTTTTGAAGACTACTACTACATTCTTGCTACAAACACAGGAGCATCTTGAGGTATTCCCACCACAGGAGATAACCCTTTTAAAACAGGCCCTACCAGCAAAACAGGTAAGCTGCCCCATTCGATCATCTGTGCAGTTGGAAAGCCATAATAACCACCACAGGCAAAAAGCAAAGGGGGTCACTGCTCACGGGTATGAAGACAATGTTCCCCGATGCTCACCTGTGCTTGGCTGACCCAGTTCCAGCTGAGACTGGATGTGTCTCCGAGGGCGAGACCCAGGCCTGAAGAAGCGGCTTCCTCTTGCCAGAATTTTCCACTTTACCAGGGAGGCCCTCTGCTGTTGCTTTTATTTGAGATTCTGCTGTACTGGTGTGGTGAGTGTCAGAGTGTGCAGAGCTCGGGAAAGAGTGTGTGGCAGGAAAGGGCTCAGAAAAGGAGGGGCTGGAGACAGGAGAATCCAGGGCCGGGTCAGGAGGCTGACTTAGCCTCCCATTTCCCATCGGCTCTTCCTCCTCGCCATCGCCAGGGCCTGGCGGCTGTGTATCTAAGCGTGAGCTCCTGCCAAGATATGGCTTATGAATTCCTGAAGCCGTACTCTGCTCTGAAGAAGCCCTAACAGATGCTTCGGGTGCTTTTGACCTGAGGTCGTGAAGGCTGCCTGTGGGCACGGCCAACCCAGCTGCCTCGCCACTCGGAGCCTTCTCAGGATGGGCAGATAACGTGCTCGAAGACGGAGCTCCCACTTCCAGAGTCACCACCTTTGCTGTCTCGCTGCCATCTTCCACCTCATCTACTCTTTCATCATCCGACGCGACCTCAGGGATGGAAGGAAGGCTTAAGTCCAGATCAGCCGTGATTGGAGATTTAACATCTGAGGCAGACTGAAGGTCACTCAGGGGATCGGACAACAGACCATCATGGTCACTGGCTTTGCTCTGATTTTGAGCCATAAGGGTATCATCTTCCTCGGTCCTAAAGAGTGGAATGTCTTTCCCTGGGCTTGGGTCACACACTGGGCCTTCTGAGACACTCTCCTCAAGCGAGAGGAAGGGAAGGCGATCAGCCACGGCACCTGGCACACCGGAATTCAGCAGCCTGGGTTCAGTGACAACTTCCCCCTTGGAGTCTTCTGCATGGGGCTGCTCAGCAGGCTCTCTGTCAGACACGTTGCCGGCGGCAGCCCCTTCACACCTCAGCCCCTGGGCGTTACTGCTATCCTCTTCAACCAGTCCAGGGGACTTCTCCACCTCCTCTTCCATAAAGAGCTGCTCAGAAAATGACACATGCTTCTTGGTTTTTTTCCTGCCCTCATCAACATTCAGCCCCATCTCTTCATGTCTCAGACTCACGGAGTCAAGTGAGGGGACCGATTCTCCCATCTGAAGGGGAGGCACTGTTGGTTTGATTGCAGAAGTCATTCTGCCGTCCCTAACTTTGTTCTTCTCAAAAGACCCAGACTGACTCTCCGAGTCTGTGTGTCGCCCCGTGGGAGGCTTCCCAGCTGGGCTTTTCATCCTGCCACTTCTCACCGAAAGGGCAACTGTTACTTCTCGGGCCCTGTCCGATGAAGGGATATAGTCTTGTGTCGTGGAGGGAAATCTCAGAAGTTCTTCTTGTTGCCCCATTTCAGGCTGTGTCAAGAGAGGCTTTTCTAAACCACCATCACTTGTCTTCTTCTCCGTGTCTATCTCACTGGTCTCCCCCCCGGGAGACTCTCCTGTCCCTTCACACACTGGAATGGGGGGCTGTTTGGAAAGTGGTCCCAAGGCACAAGAAACAGTATTTGGAACTTGTGTTAAATTCTCCTTTTGCAACTCTGCTTTATGGAGCAAAGGCAGTCCTTCAGAACCAGCCTGGCCCTCGTTGGAGGAAGGCCAGCTTTGAATAGGAGTTGATGTGGAAATGGGAGCTGCTAGCGGAGGTGAGAGAGCGGAGAAGACAGAAGGAGATTCGGAGGACTGTGACTCTGACCCATGCCCCAGTGGGGAAGGGACAGGTGTCTGACCAGAATGGGAAGGGAGAGCAGAAAGCAAGGGAGGAGAGTTAGGGGAAGAAGGAAGCCTGGCTGTGGGCTGAACCTCCGGAGACACTTCCAGTCTGCAAAAAGGACAAGACAAAATCTGCAGGTCAGTCGCAGATGCTGCATGAGAGGCAGAAAACATGTAAAAATACAGTCATTCAAGGGGAAGAACTTATTGTTATACTTGGGGCAGTATCTTAATAAGCTAAAAAAGGAACAGAACACTACTTAATATACAAAGGGGACACTTTTAGCACCAGGCACACCTGCAACACAGTGGGCTTTGCAACAGAAGCAGAAAGACCCAGGTAAAGCGGCAGCCTACAGTTTCTTCTGGTGATACATAAAAGCATCTCAAAGGTTCAAAGCAGTCAAAGATGCACCATAAGAAACATGCACAGATTTTGAAGAGCAACAGTCTCTGTGTGCCTGTGTGTATCTGTGTGTGTCCGTGTGAAGTAAAAGCAAGCAGATTCTCAAAAACAAGTCTATCCCACCCTAGACTACAGAAACACTGTGAGGGAATGTGAGTCATGCTGAAAAGCAGAAACCCCTGAGGCTCACGCAGGCTCTTACAACAAGATGCAGATTAAACACACAGAGAACTGTCACATGCACACTCCAGAACAGGCCAAGGGTCTCTGATGACAGCAAACCAGTGCCACAGTGCAAGGAAAGATAACATCAGCCTCCACAGGAGACGTGTGAAGAGCTCAAACACAGGTCCTGCACACCCCACAACAGAAACCTGGCATTCCCAGTGTGCACCCCTCGGGATCTGCTACACCCCGTGGCTTTCCCCGGGGTCTGACGATCGCGCGAGAAGAGCCAAGACTCACCGAGGCTTCACGGCTTTGGTCTGGGGAGCCCTGGCAGAGGTAGCAGGTGGTGTCGGTTCAGACTTGGGCCCTGGGTCGGCTTCTGGTTCTGTGATCGGCACCTCTTCAAAGGGGTTCAGGGACTTTCCCCGTCCAGAGATAATGGCCACTGTATCCGCCTCGAGTCTCTTCACAAGGCCTTCAGCAGGCCCTGGCCCGTCCTCCCCAGGCGTGACTTCCTTCTCCTTCCCCGTAGGGGCAGCAGGGCTTTCGCCTTCACTGCTCTTCACCACGTCCTTCTTTCCCGTCACCAGAGAGAGCAGAGAGGGCTTCTTGTTCTCCTGCTTCTTGCTCTCTTTGGTTTCTTTCATAGCCTCTGGTTTCGCTGGAGCTGTGTTTTCCCGAATGTCCCCACTGACTGGAAGCCAGGAGGACGGCAGGGTCATGGATTTCGGAGAGTTCTTTGTGGAAGACTCTGAAAGCCGCTTGTCAGAAGACACTGCACTCCCTTCCCCAGGTTCCTTCCAAGACCGGGGAGCCAGGTTTTCTGTAGATGAGAACAAATGCTTCTTCCTGAAGCCCTGCGGGGACGGGGAAGAAGAAGAGGTACTGTCCTTGGTCTCACTCTTGCCTTCCGGCTGCTCCACATAAACATGATTCCCATTGATACAGACATTCGAGCGGGAAAGGGAGTCGTTCTTAGACCGCAGGCCGCCGAGAAAGGAGAGCCCTTCCTTCTTGGGCAGGGTGAAGTTGATCTGGTTCAGTTGCTTAGGATCTGCACTTACTGTTCTCTTGTGAGACATGACTGTGGGAAGAAAGGCAAAGAAAACAGGAAATAAGAAGTTAAATGAGTGGTTCAAAACTGGGAGGAAGGGGTGGAATTTGTCCATGTCTGAATACCTTTTTGGTTGTCACAACTATGTGGGGGGGTGCTACTGGCATCTAGCATGTAGAGGCCAGGGATGCTCCCAAAGATCACACATACATGGGACAGCCCTCCACAACAAAGAATTATCTGGCCCAAACTATGAGCAGTGCTAAAGCTGAGGAACCCTGCCTTTAACCAACGAAAAGAGCTGCACTCTTGGTAGAGTAGCAGGATCTGGCCAACAGTAGAAATTAGACCTTTGAAATTGCTGTTCAAATTACACAGTTAATTCAGAGTTCAGGGATGTATACCATGAGGTTTAAGTCCAATAATAGGAGTTCAATAAATACCTGATGAATTAATGAAGTATCGGTGATATTCCACAGTTTCGCCTTTAATATTAAAAAAAAAAAAAACACAACAAAAACCAACCGTGGATGCACTCATTCTGTTAGTTCCAGAAGCTTGTGCTAATGCACATCCGTTACAGAGAGAGGCATTTTGGAACAGGCATTTATACGCTCCTAGGGACCAGAGGGCGGCAAAGGAGAGAAGGCTTCCCAGGCGAGATAATCCATCACCATCGCCACCGCCATCACCATCATAACCAATCACCATCATCGCCACCACCATCATTTCAGTAACTGAGAAGCTGAGCTACAATCTTTAAGATGTGTTCTTTTTTCTCTCAGCCACATAAATTAAGCTGAGGGAGAGAAGACAAGTAAGAAAGAGGTGGACACTCACCGTCCGAGGCAGAGGAGGGCTCGTCCTCGTTGTCTTCCCCCCACCGGGACTGGAAGTCCCCTGGACGGAGCAGCACTTTGTCTGACTTTGACGTAGGCAGGACAGACATGGACTGGGAAAGCGGTGTTTTCTGCAAATTAGACTTGGAAAACAAGGTCTTAATCTTTGACTTCTTTTTCTTGTCTTTCAAAGGCGACTCATCATCACTGTCGACTGAGGGCGACATGCTAGAGACAATGGCGGAAGCGGTATCTGATGCACTATCCTTATTCTTCCCCTTCATCTTGTCCTTCAGTTTCCCAAATGGATTTCGAGACTTGTCTTTCACAGAAAGGTCAAACATGCTAGCAGTCATGTTGTTTCTCATAAATTGGATGTCAACCTCAATTTCTCCTCGCTCTTTCTCCTTCTTTCCTGGTTTGGATTTCAAGGTGTACCACCTACGAAGAGAAAGGCTGAGAGGTTACCTTAGAACTGAAGACTCTAAAACAACATTCACAATCCCCACTAACTGTCCTTTCCTCTCTGTAATTACGAAACTCTTACACAAACACATTCTTATGTTTTCTTCTTTGGGGAATAAAGGGTGGGGTCGGGGATAAAGAAAGAACTTGTAGTTTTATTTTTGAGACACCATCCACTAGGTAAAGATAGGATTTGATTCTCTACTTGGCATATCATCATCTAATATCTTAATTTAATAGCATTATGTCCAAAAAAGATAAACATTCCATCAAATCATATTCTATGACTGGTATTTTCCTTCAATAGGGTAGACATACAAAGATCCTACACAAATAGTTAAGGAGGTAGAATGCAAATTTACAAGTACATCTCAGAGAAAAGCAAGAGTTTGTAGAAAGGTCCCTGCCAGGGAGTAATGGAAAATATAAGACCGAATAAAAATATATATGGGTTCTATTTATCTGAGGCAACTAGAGTAGTCAAATTCATAGAGACAGAATGGGGAATGGTGGTCACCAAGAGTTGGAGGAATGAGTGAAAGGGAGAGTTAGTGTTGAACAGGGACACAGTGTGAGTTGGGAAAATAAAAGTTTTGGAGATGAATGGCGGTGATGGTTGCACAACAATGTGAATGTGCTTAATACCACAAAACTGTACACCTAAAAATGGTGAACGTGGTAAATTCTGTTATGTACGTGTAGCTGTTTACCACAGTTTTTTTTTTTTTTTTTTTTAAAGAAAAATTGAGAGGAGGCATTCTTCCCTAGCTTAATAATCAGGAAAGAAAAGGAGGGAGTGTTTCAAACATTACTCAAGTATTTCCCTTGGTCATTTGCAAACTACTTCCAGAAATGGCAAATGATGTATCACTTCAACTCCAATGAAAGACAAACTTCAGAAAAAGGAGCTCTCCCCTTGGCACTTTCCAGCTGGTGAAACTGCAAGAATGTGAGTAGCGTCCATGACAGAACAAACAGCCCCAAGCGCATGACCTCCTGACAGCCAGCCCAAGCGCCACCTTCACCAACTGAGAATCCACAATCTGACCTTCTTTTCAGTGGCCTATTTAAGAGCCAAGGGCCGTAGGCTTTAAGGAAATGATGGTTTTGCCCACACAAGCACAATTTCCTCTTTCACCTTCAGCCTGTCTTGCTTGCAGGGCAGATCACTGCCCCCACTATTTCAGCTCAGCCTACACTTGAAGGAAGGAAGCAGAGGGAAGCAGAAATCTAACACTTACTTAAATAGCACCTACAGCATCCCTGGCATTGCGCACACTGAGAAACATCCTCATTTAAGTCTCACAGGAATGACATCTTGCCCTGGCTGGTGGGGCTCAGTGGACTGTGCACCGGCCCACAGACCAAAGGGTCACTGGTTTGATTCCCAGCCAGGGCACATGCCTGGGTTGCAGGCCAGGTCCCCAGAGGGAGGTGCCTTAGAGGCAATCACACATTGCTGTTTCCCCTCCCTCTTTTTCTCCCTTTCTTCCCCCCTCTAAAAATAAATAAAATCTTTAAAAAAAAAGAAAAAAGAATAACATTTCTTTATCTCTAAAACAGAATATTATACCCATTCTACAGATAAAGAGATGGAGGCTTGTAAGTGAGGTAACTGGTACAAGGTCTTACAGCTGTAAGGGGCACAAGTGGGTTGTGGGTCAGCTCTGCACCCCAGAGCTCCCGCTTGTCCCATACACCAAGGCTCCCGCTTTGCACCCTCTCCTAACTTATCTTCGTGGGCCACCTTCTGCAACACACAGAAAGGAAGGCTCATCTTTAAACTCTTTTTGAGGAAAGTTTCCACTTCTAATGTAAACTTCCCAAGATAAAAGTAGAAAGGGGGAAAACTCCCCCTAGCTTGCCATCGGTCATGAATCATAAGCTTTCATAAAGTCCAGTGTACAGAGCCATCAAGGAGAACCTAACCTGCATTATCAAAATACAGCCAAGATCTCAGAAAATGCTGTGAGCTATGATTTTGGACCTTGAGGAGAAACCCTGGTGTTTGCAGTTTTTGAAACCACAATCCACATCTGGAGAGCGAGAGGGGGGTGGTCCTGACAGACAGCCTGGCCCCTGTGGCCCTGTGCCTTTCAGGACACTTTCCAGGGCCCGGGCTGGAATAGTTTGCATATTTCTGACTTATATATTGAGAGGATTATTTGTATTTTTCTCTTCTGACAGTCATGTGCTAAACGGTAGCCTTGGTGATGAAGGGGAGCAAACTTCCGTAAATACCAATTGGAGGCACCTTGAAAAGGGGAAGCTGCTGAAAGCTGAACGTGAGGGCACAGATGACCCCAGCAGCCACAGGCCGAGAGCTTCACCTTTCCACCCTGGGTGTGAGAAGACAGGACAGACCTGCAAAGAACACTTGACAGTTCTCGGGACCGGGTCCACCCTTCCAAAAATATCGGTGCCAAAGTCTGTTTATTTTGAACCAAGCTCCGACCAACTCTAGAATCTTCCCTGAGGGCCCATTACTACCTGATGCACAGGTTCAATCCCCAGGTGCTAAAGTGGGATTTGTTTTGGAAATTTCCAACACCATCAGGAGATGTGAATAGGCACTTCACCAGCTGGTCCTGTCTGCTTATTTTTACAAACAAACCAAACACCGAGTAGCCAAGAACCGCCACAGGACTATTTAAGAAGGTAAAAAGCAGACAGAATCATAGGCAAGTAAGCATCCCAAGCGAATGCATAGAATTTTTTAAAAACCTGTGCTGGGTTTATTAGTATCTACCATGATGAAGTAACCACTGGAGCTAAAGCCAACCCTGTGCTGGGTTTATCAAAGCTAGAGAGGAAGGCGGGAATTGTTTCTTCTACTATCAATATCATCCAAGGGATACTGGACACAAGAATAATTTGATAACAACAATGAAACCCATGATCCATAGATCACCTTACGGAATCCCAAACCAGAACATGTAACTGGGTTTTAATATTTAAAACATCAATTCAATTTTAAGTGTTCCTCTTTGTGTTGTTTTTTTTTTAAAGATTGTATTACCTTATTTTTAGAGAGAAGGGGAGGGAGGGACAAAGAGAGGGAGAGAAGCATCAATGTGAGAAACACGTGTTGGTTGCCTCTCCTACGCACCCTGACTGGGAATGCACCGGCAGCGCGGGCCTGTGCCCGGACCGGGAATCAAACTGGCAACCTTTGCTTTGTGGAGCGATGCCCAACCAACTGAGCCACACGGGTCAGGGCTCATTTGCTTTTAAGTTCACTTAATTCCAGCCCCTTGCAGAAGTAGTTTATAAATAATAAAGCATGGCCACACAGCGGTGATGTGAGCATGGGCGTGCTCAGCATTACCTTTTACAGAGGCCCAGAAAGCTTACATTATCTCAGAAATCAGGGCTGGGCTCCTAGTCCAAAGGGCAGAGAATAGGAAGAAAGCCATCATCCCAATGTAGCAAGTTTATTTTTAAACCTCTTTCTGGAAAAACCCTGCAACCCACCAAAAAATATCAAATGATTCCTTCTATTAGCAAACAATGATTTTTACTTATAATTAAAACTCAGTTCTTCAAAAATTAAAAGGATCTCTGAATACATTGGAAGTCACGGACACCTTATATAATCCATATTTTTAAGGAATAGCAGGCACAGGGTAAAAAGTCGTATCATGCAGAGTCTTCAGTCTTCCTACCCCTCATGCCCTTCAGCGGAGTGGTGGTCTTGGGAAAAACAAACAAAAATGCAGAGCGTCCAAACAGGCTGCTCTCCTGTGTTTTGTTTTGTTTTGTTTTGTTTTGTTTTGTTTGGGAGGGGGGGCGGAATTGGGTATATTTGGTCAAACACAAGACAAGGCAACAGCTAAAACCAGAAAATTTCACTTAAGTCTTCTACACTTTCCAAAAGAAGCCTTATTCAGAGCAGTAGGGAATGTAAATCAGAATGAACTAGGTCGAGGGAGGAAAAGAGGCAGGACACAGCACACAGGACCCCCCACCCCGTCGCCCCCGGTGGCCGGTTGGGGAGCTAACTGCGCAGGTCTGCATTGTGAAGTCTCCTGGGCCTTGAGACAGTCATTTTGAGAGCAGCTAAAGCCATCCAACCGTGCCCAATTCTTCGGGCTGATTTGCCTCAGACCGTGGAGTTTCACAAACACACGGAAAGCGGGTCCCGGGGGCCTTCCGTCGGAATGCGGCAGGGCAAGGGCAGCAGCGCGGCTCTGGCTCTGGGGAGGGAGGAGCGCAGATGGGGTTACACGTGTAAAGGGATGCCTGGTATGTCTCAAAAGTAATCTTTCTGCAGATGAAGTAAGCATGTTTTTCCTTCAAAACATTCCTGAGGGCGGACTCGTACAGAGAAATGATAGCTCCAAAGATTCAGTTCAAATACTTTTATGTGCCAGGCACTGAAAACACCAAAGGAAGAGGCCAGATTCTGCCCTAAAAAGCTTAACTCCTGGGGGTAGGGGCTGGGGGTGGGGCAGAGAGTGAGCTTACAGATACTGTTCACAAAGTGCTTGTGGTATTGGCACAAGGGCTGCCTTTTCTAACTTTGGAGCATGAGAAATTAGACATGGAAAGAATCTATAGTTTCTTCACAGATGAGAACTCTCGCACACAAACACGGTTGGTTCACAGCTAACTTAAACCCTAAGGGGCTATAAGAACCACCTACTTAGGAATCCAGCAAAATGAACTAATACTGTATCTCGCATTGGACACAAAAAGGCAAGGCAAAGGAAGACCACAGTTCTACGAGTTAGTTCAACATTTTAACGTGTTTCTTTAACTTCAAGGGAGCTTCATCTACGCGTCCAGCTGGGACCCACGGGTCAGTGGTGGGCTGCCTGTTTCCCTTCCCCTGCAAAATCTCACCCATGACTTGTAGCATGCGTCATCCACACCATGACCAAGCATCACGATGAGCATCATGACCCAGGGGATTATGGCCTCAGGCCAGGGAAGAAGCAGGGAGAGCAGAACAGCATCTGACGTCGTGTTTTGAG